AAAGAAAGAAAGAAAGAAAGAAAGAAAGAAAGAAAGAAAGAAAGAAAGAAAGAAAGAAAGAAAGAGAAAGAAAGAAAAAGGCAACCTCATTTTGGCGTGTTAGATGTCTGCCAGAACCCGAGTGATGGGGGTGTTTCCACCCAAAGGACATTCGAAGGAGAATCTGTGTCCTCTGGCTCACTGATGAATCCCAGGTGTGAGAACCACACCTGCCTCCTTCTAGGGGTTCAATAAGCAAGCTTCAAATGAATGACGTTCCTTTTTATTAATCTATTGCTATAATTTGAATCGCAATGTGCCTTAAAGGTCCATGCGTTGAAGGCTTGCCTCCCATCCCGTGGCAATAATGGGAAGCAGTATGAGAGGAAGTTAGGTCGTCGGTGACGTACCCCTGCATGGGGTCCTGCAACTCTTGTCCACCGTCACCACGCATTCTTACGGTACTGAGCCGTGCTTCCACAGGCTTAAAGCGATAGACTCAAACAACCTTGGACAGAAATCTCTGAACCTATGAGCCAAAATAAATCTTTTCTTTTCTTTTTTTTTTTTTTTGTAGAGGAAATCAAACTCAGGGTCTTCTTGCTAGGCAGACGCTGTGCTGCCGAGCTACCACCCCAGCCATATTCCTCCTTTTAAGTGAGTTCTTTTAGGTAGTTTTTCACAGAGCTGGACAGCGACTGGCACCCATGTACGTAAAACAGAGGTTTAGGACATTGGTTCAACTTGCCACAGGTCAAACAAATAAGTGGTATGTATTATGTTTTAACCCAATGTCTGAATCCAAAACCAATCTCCTCTCTACAGTTTTCCTACCTTAAAGAGTGGTAGAGAAAGTAGAAGTAGATAGAGGTTGCCTTTAAAAAAGAAAGAAAGAAAGAAAAAGAGCTGGCCAAAAAGCTCAGTGGATTAAAGCGCCTGCAAGCAGGCCCAGGGACTGGGACTTCAATTCCCAGGCCTGCCATTCCGGCCCCAACCCCGGGGCACGCTGAGACGGCAATTGAGACTGGGCGTGGTAGTGCGAGTCTGTAATCCCAGCTCTTGGGAGGCTGTAAACAGGCGGATCAACTACGAGTCTGATCTAGTAGGGAGACCCTGAACACCCTGTAGACCCTTCCTTAAATTACAAAACAAAACAAACAATACAGAGTTTCACTAAGCAAAGTAATAGAACCTCAACAGTGGATGTTATATTGCATATTGTTGTCTTCAAATTAGTTGTTCAGATTACCAGACATAAGCATGCAAAATTGATCTAGAAAATTAAAAAGGAGAAAGGAAAAATTTAAGCATTAATGCTCCTTTCAATTGACCAGCAGAAATCAGCAGTACAATTTTCCAGGCTATTCTGTGTATATACATATCTATTTCTTTTTCCCTTCCTTCTTTCTTTCTTTTCTCCTTTCTCTCATCCCACATTTTCTTCCCTTTGGATCATTTCTTTGTCTTTCACAATATCCATTGTAAGTTTCAGATCCTATTTATTTTTTCATATTCTTACAACAGGGAGAAAATATGGTGTTTATACATGCAGGTCTGATTTATTTCACTTAAGAGTATGGTCTCTAGTTGCATCTATTTACCTATAAAGCCTCGAGTTTATCTTTTTTATAGCTGAGTAATATTCCATTGTGCAAAAATACTACATGTTTTTTTGTCTTTAAATCTTTTATTTATTTATGTATTGGTACAGGATCTCACCACACAGCTTGTGCTTGTAGTGATCCTTCTTCTCAGTTTCCTGAGTACTGAGATTGCAGTAATGCTCCACCATGCTAGGTTTGGTGGCCAGCATAGTGAGGGGACCGGCACTGCCTGTGGTACTGGGAATCAAACCTGGGTCCCTGTGCTTGCCAGGAAGGCACTTAGACCATTGAGCCACATCTTTTTGTATCCATTGCTCAGTTGATGGCTATGACAAATACCCAGGAGGGGAATAGCTGGGTTGAATGGGACCTCTAATCCTCACTTTCTGAGGACTCTGCACACTAATTTCCATAGTGGTTGTGCCCATCTGCACTCTCACCAGCAGTGGACAAGGGCTCTTTTATCTCCCCCTCACAGCTCCTCCAGCATTTGTGATTGGTTGACTTTTGGGTGATAGCCAGTCTTTTTGGGGTAAGATGTAACCTAGTGTTGTTTTAATTTGCATTTTTCAATGAAGTTGAACATTTTTTCATATGTTTATTTGCCACCTGTACTTCTTCATCTGAGAAGTGTATATTCATCTCAGATGTCTCCCCTCTGCCTTTTTTGGGCATAGTTCTGGGTGTGGCTCTATGGATATTTATTTGTTTGTTTATTTGGTACAGCATCTCACCACGCAGTTCTGACTCATACTGATCCTCTAGCCTCAACCTCCCCAGCACTGGGATTATGGGTGTGCACCACCACAACTTGTTTCAGTAGCTGCACAGTGCACCCAGGGTTCCTGGAGGTGGCATAGCATGTGGTACTGGGGATGAAACTCAGGTTCCTGTGCTTGCCAGGAAGGCACTTAGGGGCTGGGGTGGTAGCTCAGTGGATTAAGTGCTTGCCTGGCAAGTGCAAGGTCCCAAGTTTGATCCCTGGTACCAGGAAAAAAAAAAAAAAAAAAGTTCGAAGACAGACTGCCAAGCTATCTCCCCAGCTTCAATGGGTGTGTTTCAAATAGATGTCCCACCCTGAGTGTGTGTGTGTGTCACCAAACAATGGGCTTGCAGCCTGGGTGGTAATTAAGGGAGAGAGGAAAGCAGGCTCGTTGCTTTCTGTCTGCTCTGCCAGGGACAGCTTCTTCTCTGCCATGCCCTTCTGCTCTGCTGTACTGCCTTGGAACCCACTCACTATGGACCAAAAGCTTTCCAAACTGTGAGCTAAAGTTAAATTTCCTTCCTTTATTTTATGGATATTGGGTATTTTCATCCCAGCAACAATGAAGTAACTAAGAAACCATGACATGCCAAGCCCCTTAAAAGTATGTTAAATCTATAAACTAGTTTAGTTTATAAGGTAAAGGACAAAACCTTACCTTAATTTAAAGAAACAGATTTAAAGTTTTCGAAGAATGTTTTCATGCAAAACACCTTACTTAGATCAACCATCTTAATAAAAGAAAAAGGGAACAACAGGGCTCATGTCTTTCCCCGGAAAAATGGGGCATTTTTTTTCATCTGTAAAATGAGCTATTATTTTTCTGTCTGTGAGTGAGCTGTCGCTTATTTCTATAAACCAAACCCAAACTTTCTATAGATTCAGGCATTTTACAAATTTCCACACAGAACTATTCCAAATTTTGGTCTATAACACACCTCTCTCTTGACGTCCTGTTGCATCTTTTTGATTGTATACTTTAAATTCTTCACAATGGGGGGCCGGAGAGATGGCTCAATGGAATAAGCACTTCCCTGGCAAGTGCAAAGGCCTGAGTTCAATCTCCAGTTCTGCAAAAAAAAAAAAAAAAAAAAAAAAAAAAAAAAAAATCTCCACAATAAGTCTCTTTAATTCCTATTGAAGTAAATGTAAGCCAAAACATTCCATTTAGTAAAACTTGATGAGGACTGTTTCCACTAGGATTTCGATCGTGTTTATCAAAGTAGCTAATTAACTTAATGCATTACTAATCACTCTCAAACAAGCCTAACAAATATCTCTAACATATTTTCCTGAAGGCATGTTGCAATGTATTTTCCATGACCAAATGCAATAAGTAAAATATAAAGAAAACTAACTTTAAAATCTGCTTAATTTTAAGCTCACTTTTAGGAAGGCAGAATGGCTGGCTCACAGTTTACGGTGAATATGAGTTTGTTGCACATGTGTGAGAGGAAACAGAAGCCAGTGCCCATGGATGTAGTTTTCCAGTCCTCTGAACAGCACCTGGAAACTTGCCCGAAATGCGGTCTTGTCCCAGACCTACTGAATCAAAAGTGGCATTTTAATAAGATCTCCAGGTGATTTATGTACATGTGACAGATTGAGAAACTCTCCTCTGGCTAATATGGTTAATTGTGGAAAGTAATTAACTTATTCCTATAAATTAATCCCCTCTTAACACATTTCAAAAAACAAAGGATTGGAAGAAAAATTATCTTAAGCATCATAAAGCTTCAAAGTATTTTTCTTGTAAAGAGGATGCACTTCTACGAGAGTGTGTTAAAACAATGTAAATAAAAGTCTGCTTTTTAGGGCGGAGCTCCCATTGTGGCAATTTAGAGCAGGTTTCTCAAATTTTAGAAAATGTTCTCTTGCATGGATTACTTGTATGAAAGGTTTGATTTCCTTTGATTTATGAGTTTATGGAGCTTGAAGTCATTTTACTGTCAAGGTCATTCTTATGCTGTGTGTGTGTGAATCATCAAAATGTGTTTCTTAAATCCAACGGGGAGGGAGTAGCCAAGCCAGAATTTATGGAACTGTTATGTTTTTGACAGATCCTCACGTTGGGTTATAAAATGTTCCTTGCCTATGAAAAGGCAAAGAAACGTGTGGTGCTACTTGAAAATATGTTGTAAATACATTTCTGCTAGCATATCATATATATTTGTATTCGTGAATACATGTATAAAGTACATTGGTGTATATGTGATACATGTATACATCTATCGACAACATTGTGATGACATTTATATGTATATATTTTATGTATAATTTTTTTGTCTTTTTGAGACAGGGTCTCACAATGCAGCTCAGGCTGGCCTTGAACTCATTTGTAGCCCAGGCTGGTCTCGAACTCACAAAGATCCTCTTGCCTCAGCCTCCCAAGTGTTGGGACTACAGGCATGTGCCACCATGCAGTGTACAAATTAAATGCAAGCAATTTTCTAAAAAAAAAAAAAAGATACTATAATGCTTTGCAAAAGTTTACAGTCAGACAACATAATATAACTTGTTATATACATGTGAAAATAGATGTATGGCTTTGTAAATACACTTTTTAAAATTAATTTTATTGAGAAAAAATTGCAATGAGACAGTTTCAAAACAGGTTGATAGGAGAGTTACATCAATTAATACATTGCATATTGTTGTCTTTGTAGTAGTCATTCATAGCTCAAGATGCTGACATGATATCCTGTCCAAACACTATTAGTACAAATCTTTCTTCTTATTGAATTAAGAAAAAGTGGATATATATCTATTCTAACAATTTTTATATACAGATACAGAATTGTCCTTCATTTATATCTCCTTTTTATGTTTAGTTTTGTCAGAGATTGGTATTCCAATACCCAGAGATGGGTATTCATGCACTTACAAATATTGTAGGTGCATGAATTCAGCAAAATATTGCAATATAGTCCAGTAGTCCCCAATAGTAGTGAGCTGTCCACAGGACTGGAAATGTCTGAATCTGTTGACTTGAGCCTTCCACAGCTCTGCATATTAACATGGCTTCGCTTTTCATACCT